AAAAAAAAAAAGAAATTCACTGCTAATCCGGGTAAGCAAAACAACAGGCACCAGCAGCAGGCAGGGGACTTTTACTCTCTAGCCGCCCCCGCACCCCCCCCCTCTTTTGCCCTCTCTGCCCCCTCTACACACACACCCCCCAATTTCCCCGCCCTCCCCAAAACTCAGATTTGAAGCCCTGAATGAATGGGGCTGGTAATTCTGTAATTCTGTCCCTATGGTCTCTTCCCCCGAATACCACGCACCCCGGTCATGAATGCATACAAACGATCTTTCTGGTCCCATACACTCAGTATGAGTGGTGCGTTGTGCTCGGGGCAAGATGGTAGATTTCTTTGGTAAATTTGGCTCTCCTGGGGCAAGGTCCCACTTGCAAAGAGGATTGGATTAAGCCCATGAATCTGGACGTGATTTATGCAAAGGCGGAAAAGCAGATCAATCTCGATATTCTGCACCTGTCCACAAACACGTCCAGATTCAGACTTTAAATTCAATCCTCACGCGGAGCGGAGTGCACCGGTTTGACACTCTGGTTTTACCACGGGGGCCGCCGAACGTGGGATGTACCGGCCTGCCTGTGCCCGCTTAAACGCATTCACAAATTTCAAATGCATTCACAAATTTTCACAATTGAAATTGGAAGATTGTCAGAGGTTTGGGGGGGGGGGGAAGAAAATAGGAAAAACTTTGATATGTGATACACACAGAAGAGCTGTGTGCCCTCCCCGCCCCCACCCTCGCCCCCGTTATCCCCACCCCCCGCCCCTCTGCTCCTCCCAGAAGTGGAAGAGTGAACCTTCATTGACACTACAATGATCATTCCGTGATATGAAGTTGACAGGCTGAAGCACTACAGTCTTCCCCCGAATACAACGTACGTTCATTATAGCTGAATTTGGGCCATTTTTCAGTCTAAATTCAGTTATAATGACCGTACGTTGTATTCGGGGGAAGACTGTAACCGATTTGTGTCACTCCTCTTCTTCCTCCTCCCCCAGACGCGACAAGTCCGATCCTTGGTCCATTGGACCACATTAGAAAAAAAAAAAAAAAAAAAAAAAAAAAAAAAAAAAAAAAAAAAAAAAATCCATCTATCAATCGCATTCGTCTTTGTTTGTGGTTTTGGTTTTTGGTTTCTGGTTTCGTTTTCGTTTTCGTTTATGGTTTTGGTTTTGGTTTTGGTTTCGGTTTTGGTTATGGTTCAGGTTTGGGTTTCGATCTTTTGACCGTATGCTTTTTCAATTCAAATGGAAAATGGAAAACGGAAGAAAAAGGGTTGGGAGCAATTAGTCGTCGTAATGTCGTGGGTGGGAGCGAGCGACGTTCCGTGTCTGCTCAGGATCCAAGGGTGCAGGGTGTGCTATCCGCTCAAGATCGCCTACGATGCTGACGAAGGTAGACGAGATGGAACCCAGGGGACGGGTAGGGAGAAGGCCACAGACAAACACACCGGGAAAAAAAACAGAGAGAGAGAGAGAGAGAGAGAGAGAGAGAGAGAGAGAGAGAGAGAGAAGAGAGAGAGAGAGAGAGTGTGCGGGTGTGTGTGTGCGAGGAAGAGAGACAGACAGACAAACAGACAGACAGACAGTGTGTGTGTGTGTGTGTGTGTGTGTGTGTGTGTGTGTGTGTGTGTGTGTGAGAGAGAGAGAGAGAGGGACGCTGAGTAGTACACACCACGGTCTTCACACCAACGAAGTGCGTCATCGACAGAACTCGCACACAGGGAGGGGGGAGAGAGAGAGGGAGAGAGAGAGAGAGAGAGAGAGACGCGGAGTGGTACACACCAGGGAGTTCACACCACCGAAGAGCGTCATGGAGAGAAGTGGGATGATCAATTCAAATTGATGATAAATTAGTTAGTAAATTAGTACCACCGTTCCCCCGGTCGCTGCTGCTGGCCAGGAAAAATAAGGGCACCCTCTTATTCTTCCCGGGGGCAGCAGCAGCGACCCGATCACCAATCGCCTCTCCTCTCGTGCCTGTGATCACTGCAGACCTGTCCGACCCCGGGGCAAGGTCCCACTTGCGCGGATTACGAGATTTCGGCCGTCGATCTCTCTCGGCTATCTACGGTCTCTATCTCTTAATTCGTTCGTGCAAGTGGGACCTAGCCCCCGGTCCGGAAACTCTGAGTCTCCTGTCCCCCGCAGAGGACCACTGTTTCTTTTGCTTTGGTTTGAAGAATACCCGCGATACCCAGTCCCAGCCCCCAACTTGCATCTATACCTGGGACTGGGAAATGGCCCGTGGAAATTGTTTGCATGCCCAGGACCAAGGTGGGCCAAGGTTGGTACCACCAAATGGCACTTATACCCAACTACTGGAATCCTCAAATTATGCGCGTACCTGCGCAAGTGATGTGCATGGCCAATTTGGGGGGCCAAGTCTGTGGGCATGAGCAGAATTTTGCGCGCCCCCAACAAGGGCCTATGGAATGGGGCGCATATAATTTGGCACATGGGAAGAGTTGCGTACTCCTGCCGAGGCAATTTTCTTTGGGGCTGGAAATGCACGCCGCGCAAAAAAAAAGAATCGGTGCGGATCTCCTTGTGGCTGGCGCTGCTAGTCATTTTGAGAGCAAAGGGCCTCGTTCCACACCACACCACTTCACTTCAATTGAAACTCGAGTGCGCACTCGAGTTGCAAAAGTGATTAAAAAATACCTGAGTCATGTTTCCTTCCAGTCAAACCTCGAGTCCGCCCTTGAAATGAGCGGGAACAGCAAGGTTTAGTAGCAGAAAATGATACTGAGCGACACCACGGCAGGCGGGAAAATCTTGTCTGCGCTGGTCCACTTTTTTTTTTCGTACACACCACTGACTGGGACACTTTTGACACCGTTCGATCGGCACAGCAGGAGGGCCATCAACTACCATGACGGGTCTTCGAATTGCTACATCTGTTGAGTTGCGTAAATACCCCTGCCTTCTTCACGTGTTACTGGAAGTGAGTGCTTCACACATGGGAGTAGCCGATTCGCGTTAGGCCTGCTCCGCCTGCTTCACACATCTGTTGCCCATGCAAAGGCCTATTCTGCCCGCCAACAGACGACGATGAGGAATTAGGGCGTTTAGTTAGCTATGACACTTTTTTTACCATAGTAAACTAAACGTCCCGCGCCTCGCCGTGTGCTGCGCCGACATGCTTTTTGCCAATGAACACCTCCCATTTGGTCGGGAAAGCTGCCATCTCCGCGCGCTGGACTAACGACCGCTGGATGTTTTTACAATCCACGACTCGTCGTCGTCGCAAAGCTGTCGCTGCTAAACGCGACGCTGTGTAGTGGGTCGAGGCCCCAAAACAATGTCGTTAGAAAAAGGAGAATAAACGGGGGGGGGGGAAGTATCGGGGGGTTCTACACGTACCTGCAGCGTCGATTTCAAGTGCAGCTCAAGTGTGCCTAGAGAGGTGACTTGAAAAACGGGTAGGTTTGCATGGCCCGCACTTGAGCCGCCCTCGAGCATTTCCAACCCATTTGCTAAACCCGAAAGTCTAATCACCACCGAGCCGTCACCGTGGAACGGTGTTGGGCAAGAAACCCTTTAATTTTGAGTGGTGTGGAACTATCCCCAAAAAGTTGCGGCTGCCTGCAAGTCACATTTTGAGCACCAAAAGTTGGACAGGTTCTGGGTACAGATGCAATTTGGGGGCTGGGATTGGGTATAGTGGTAATTCCCATCCACTCCCAACCCCGTCCCTCACCGGGATTATAGAACGGCTATATGTAAGTTCATCTGGAAGAATGACCCGGTTGCCGCCCACATTATTCACAGGGTTTCCTGCCGCAAGCTCATCCAACCACGCGCTGACGGAGGTCTGGGACTAATAGACCCTGCCACACAAATTTAGGCACTCCATCTACGTACAATTGTGTGGCTGCTTCTTGAGGACAACAACGCCCCCTGGAAGGCCTTGACTCTCCAAACGATGGTTGAGGCCCTCAGGCTTCGCCCGGTGGACGTCGAGATTGCCCTCCTCCACCCTGCGCTGCTCATGAACCTCAAGCGTGGTGCTCTTTGGACTCCGGTCCTCGCGCAATGGCGAGCACTGGCTCCCCTACAGCTCCACCCACCTGCATCGACGGAGCAGATCCTACAGCAGCCTTTGTTTGGCAATCCCCTCATTCGCGACTGTAGTGGAAAACCTTTCCCCTGGGCGAACACCAAAGGAGCTTTTGGCAAAGCTTGGCTTCACGTGGGAATACTCAGAGTTGCAGACCTTTGGGATCAGATGGCCAAGGACTGGAAGGAAGACACGTGTATCCTTAGGCAAATGGACAGTCAAACTGCGAAACAAAAGCGCCTCCACGCCATCCGGCAGGCTATTCCAGATGACTGGATCCTTGCCCTCAGAACCGACACCAAGTACTTCCGCGAGTGGGTAATCAAGAGTGATAAAGAACCGGTTTGTCTGATCTTTTAGATTCGTGGCCTGCTCAGCAACTCATGGCTCCGGGTGGAGGCCTGGGAGAACGCCCCGAGTAATGGACTGATTGGGGATCCCCTCAAGAGGGTCAGCTCCCGGGATGGCTGGTTACCTGCAGATTTAGTGCGCCCTGTCACGGTTCTTACTGAAAAGAAAAGGGGCGCCCCAGTAGCATATCGCTTATGCAGGTCGAAACTCCAGCCCTCACAACTGCGATTCGATCCTGCGATGTGGACCTGGAAGTCGCAAGGACTGCAAAAACGCTCACTTTCGCTCCATCAAGTGCACACTAAAATTATTTATCGGTCCTTGCTGACCCCTTACCGCGCAGGACGGGAGCTTAAGTATCGCTGGGCTAAGCCAGGATGGTTGAGGGGAGACCTTGCGAAAGGGTGGACCGCCCGTTTATGGAAAGCCATGAATATCCGCCTCCAAGCTCTGCCAAACCAAAAGCATGCTGGTCTCCTATGGCTCAATGCTCATCTGGCTCTTCCCACATGGCAGTGGCTCGCCAAGCGATCAGGATTCCCTGATGTTGCATGCCCGCATTGTGGGAGGGCCCCTGAGGACATTTCCCACATCTGGATGCACTGCGCCCCTCAACAGCAATTGTGAATGTGGTGGAGGCAAGAAATCAGGGGGGGATGCTGACAATATAACCCCCTCCGATTGAGAAGACTGCGTGCTGCTCAGCCCTGACCTCCTACCCTCCTTGGTCCCCAACTGCAGAGCATACGCGATAGATATTATTCGAGCGGCCTTCTTGGGAGGGGTCTGGGCCCTCCGCACGGCGCTTTTATTTCAGCACAGGTCCCCTACCTTCACGGCGCTCCGCTCACTCGTGCTAGCGAACCTTCGATCAGCCGTCACTGCGGACATCAGGAGAAAGTCGCCCACGGCATGACCCTTCATCAGACAGACCTGGTCGCGATATTCGAAATTACTCATTATCCGCGATCAGCCAGGTAACTGGAGCTGGACACTCGACATTTGACATGCCCTCCCTTAAAGTCAACCCTTGACCCCTTCTAGGCTAGACAGATGCCTCTCATAGCTGTTGCATAGGCCTCGACTTTGTTGATTACCTTGGCCCCTTATATAGGTTGCGCCCTATGTAGAAAACGCATATAGGTATAGGTTGCGCCCTGCATAGAGCATGCATATAGCTAGCTTCTATACTATAGGTGATTATTTGGAGGTGTCATTTCTTTGGAGTCCTGCATCAATAGTTACTGACCCAACAATTTGAGTAAAAGTACTGTTGTTCAAGTTGATCAAAATTGGGGCAGGATTTGCACTGGTTTGTACATTCGAACACTGTGTGAATATAGCCTAGACCTGCAAATAGATAGTACACAAATATGAACTGATTGAACAATTTGGTCCACGTTTCATTTTCACTATCCTCCTTGGGGGAGTGAGGGGCTTGACTTTGGACACGGCAGGCTGTCTGATCCCTGGTGGTTCCTTCTGTCGTTGAGTGTTGACGCCTCCCGGCGGAAGGAATCCCCGGAGCAAGGACAGCCTGAAAATGTGTCTCTTGCCAAACCCTGTCGCATGCGACACTGCCCTAGGGTTGTGTTGATACCCCCTTCCCGTTCTCTCCTTTTCGCATCCTTGTATTCTGGGACGCCAGGCCCGATTCTCGGCAGGTGATGCTCCCTACCAATAGAATGGAGCCGACGGACTCCGGTACTACTCGATGATGCTCTTACCACATCGGGTAATACTGGTCTGCTTGTTTTTGTAAAAAATAATAATAATAATAATAATTTTTTCTTTTTGTTTTTGCTTTTCCTTTGCCTTTGGGATAATTTCACCTGAACCCTAAAAATTGGGTGTATACCCAGTCCCAGTGCCCGTCTTGAATATATACCCAGGAAAATGCTTTGTGGATTCTATTCTCATGCCCCAGAAGGGGTTGGTACTTGCAAATTGCAGTTATACGCGACAACTGGTCTTTGCAAATTATGGACATACCTCATCTAAGGCAAATTATGGACATAATGTGGACCAACCAAAGTATAGGTTACCCAGTAGTTGTTTGGCCACAATAACTCTCTCTTTCTCTCTCTCTCTCTCTCTCTCTCTCTCTCTCTCTCTCTCTCTCTCTCTCTCTCTCAACACTAAAAATTCCCAGAATTAAATAATCATTTTATAGTAAATTACATTCTCAATTTTAAATTTTCATTCCATCTTAAAAAATATCATTCCAATTTTAAAATTTTTCGTCTTATTTGAAAACTTTCCTTCCAAGACTGGGCTATCCCTTCTTATTTGAACTGCATGCTAGAGATGGAATGAAAGCCTTGATTAGTTCATGAAATATTTTAATTGGACTGTCATTCTCAATAAGAATTTTCAGTCATAAATATGTTAATCCAATCTAAATTAGAAGATATTTGTTGTAATAAAATGAAAGTTTAATTAAAATATTTCATAAACTCGTCCAGACTTTCATTCCATCTTGAACAAATAGATGTAGTTGGAAGGGAAAACTCATATTTAGACGGGAATTTATCAAATAAAACTGTACATTTTATAATTAGACGAAAATTTGAATGATAATTTGTAAATATCAAGGATTTTTTTTTTATAGAATATTTTTTCAACTTCCATTTCTCGTGGGAATTTTTTTGTTGCTCTCTCTCTCTCTCTCTCTCTCTCCCTCTTTTTTTTTTTTTTTTTTTTTTTTTTTTTGTGTGTGTGTGTGTGTATGTGTGTTTGTATTTGT